CTGACCTTGTATGTTATGACAACTTCCCCGTTATCATGAAATTCTGAACCTTGTAGTTGCTAACTTTCCCGAACAGGAGCCCGAAGACCTTTTCGAGACAATCTCACAAGCACTATTGAACGCGGTTGACCGTGACGCCCTTTCAGGCTGGGGTGCATACGTGTACATCATTGAGAAAGACAAGGTTACCAAACGAAAGCTTAAGGGACGACAAGATTAGAGAGAAGATGCTGGTCGAGGAATTCACGCTTCAGTAAGACCTATTTTGTTCTACCAAGTAAATGGCGTTGTGGACTTGGTAAAGCAAGGCCCGTTCTCATTTTTAGGCTTTGAATGGTGAAGAACTGGTCCTTAAATATAATGTCCTATACATCATATATTAGATAAGGGCCATTAATGAAATGATCCAATACATGAAGTGACTAAAAACATCGGCCTGCAACAGGTTTTAAAAATGGAGATTCGTATCATCGGACTGTTGAACAAATAGAAATAACCCCGTCAAGAGCATCTTCCCAGCTCTCCATCAATGAGCCACAGAATAACTCCAGAGAGGCAGAATCCATGAGGCCTTCAATTTCAGCATCAAGTGTCCGGACACCTTCAAGATTTTCAGTACCTGTCAGACCGCCTGGTCTCATGTGTACGATATCAACGAGATGGCCAAGCATTCCAGAGCTGGAAATCCGTGCCTTCAATCCTTGACATTGGACTCTGACCTCATCTGCAACTGCCTTCACGCGATCCTTGAGAGCACCGATCTTGGCTTTGCCATCCCCTGAGGTGTAGGGTTTGTTCTTGCTTATAAATGAGATAAATAGTAATATGGCCTTTAATGTCTCAAGTAGCAGAATAGCTTCGTGTAGGAAAATCCAGGAAGGAGCAGGGGATGCGGGGTTGGAATTAGGAGTCAAGTCTATTGTCCCATTGGTCTTAGAGTCCGGAGTTACCAGGACTTTCAGCCTCTCTTCCAGGTAGGCATCCACTCTTGATAGGGTGTTGTCGACAGTGGCAGCATCAGATGGTGTTTCCCCTGTAAACGCAGCTAGACATTTTAGTAGAAGATGGTGAACCTGTATGTTCATCTTTTCAGCAGATGTGAGTTCGTTTTCTGCGGAATTAATGTCAAAACCAAGGTATGGAGAAAGCTTTGGCTTTGATGCTTTCGGCGAAGCCATAGTCAAGAAGTTAAATAGAGCATCTGAGACAGCTAGTGCATTGATTGCTTGAGTCTATATTTAACGTTAGTAAAGAGCGAAGGTTATTACAGCATGTATGTGTTAAACTTACCTTTTGGAATGGCCCTACTCTCACGTACTCTTCGAAGGCTGGCTTTCCACGAGGCTCACAGTTCATGAATCCCTCAAAGTTGCGCTTGTCAGAAAGAGGGCTTTTATTGAGAACTACCATCCGGATAGTTAGCATATGTATAATGTTATTTGGAAAAACGAATGGCTTACCAATCTTGTCATACTGGCTTATAGATGGACCGCCGACAATTCGGTGGAGGCGTCTTGCTTCCAAAGCCCACATTTTCCTACATAAGCTATTCTTTAAATCATTCCGGAGCTCAATGCTGCCTTCCACATTGATGTAGCTGCCATTGTCTAAGCCCGTAGACAGAGAATATGTTGTTGCACTCTCTGCATTTCGGTAAAATAATAATGCCTGCCTGAGCCCTGCCTGTGGATCATAATCTTTTCTGTCGAGGTCTAACGATGGGGGCGCGCTCTGGGGATGAATAGTTGCAAGTCGAGTAAATAAGTTATGGGCGACTGTCTCGTACTGTATTTGCTTGACAGATAGCTTGGAAAATTTCTTTAGAGCAAGTGATCCAGCACCAAGAAGCAGGTATATTCGGACAAGCAATAAAAGAGCTTCATAGTTGTGCGGCGATTTAAGCAGAAGATGTTCAAGTATCCCGGCCGCTTGGACTAGGACGCAGTTAGTGGTAGACCCAGCTATAGCATCATGCAGGCGTATCAAAGCCATTGCAGCTAGCAGGCAGAGATCATCTGTCGGCTCCGCTTCAATGGTTGAAGGCGTATCACCAGCGTCGGCTCTCCCAGCGTCTTTGAAATCACGTAAGCAGCGGCAGACAAAGCTTTCAGTCTTAATAATGGCATCTTTAGTATTCTCGAATTTTAACTGGAATGAATACTCCAGCTTGTACGCATTGATTTGGGGAATTGCACTAGACTTCAAAGGAAATTTAGCGAAAACTATTCATCTAAAGTGGGAAAAATTGGGGCATCCTTTACCTTTTTAGTTTCCTCTACAATTTTGGACGCTTCATCCTCAAACTTTGAATAGAGGCGTGTATCTAAACCGGTGAGGTATCTTTGCAGGTCATTGAAACAGTATATCTTCCGTTGGTTACGCCTAAAATATTCAATACAACCAGAGAGCACTTTCTCAGGAGTAGATTTATCGAATTCAATCCCCTGAAGTTTCAATTCGAGATTGGCTAGCTGTGCATTCCTGGAAGCCGGGCGTCTTGCTAGGTAATTTGAGATGACTTCTGCCGTGTCTTGGAAGGCACTAAAATTCATTAACAGGTATCAATGAATAAAAAAGGGGTAAAGTCCAGCTCACTCTTGCTTCTCTGCCTTCCTCGTGGCAAGTAGGAGAAGGTTCCATACTTTCCAATCATCCCTCTCCTCATATTTGGGATCTGGCTTCGACTCCGCCGTCACGCTGTCGTCAAGCGTCAGTAATTCTTTCGTAAACTTCAAGGCTTCATCCCATAGGCCGCTTTTCTCAATAGCTGATAGCTTGTTTGTGAAAAAGAGCCATTCATTCTGGGCGATGCGAGAGCTGACTCCCAGATGTTCGCTGTTGAGTATTTCAACGAGCTCCTTGTGGCGAGATTGGCTTTCGTATATCTTGATTAACAGGTAAAGCTCCTCCGCAGTCTGAATTGCTCGCGGAATGCTCAACAACTCTTTCTGTAGCGAACAAACGATGTTTTGTGAGCCATGAAGGTTAATTCACAGTGTAATGGCCGAGGAATCACATACCGGGTCCGTTGGTACGCTCCCTGCGGCTTTGGATATCATTCGATATGCAAGAGTACCAAATAACTTCCGGTCGTTGTCTGAACTTGCTGTATCGCGTTCAATCAAGGAACACATGAAAATGGCCCAAAAGTAGTAATTTCTGGCTTTGGGGAAATTGTTTTGTAGGCTCATGGCCGCCTTGATAGGAATTGAGTCAGCCTTTGAGGTTTCTCTTCTATTGCGAAAATGCAAGGGCTTATATATAGGGTCTCCGCATGAGTTGGTGCACCTTTTGAGCTGTTTTCCAATCTCCGGCATCTGACGCAACCCTAAACCATCTCAATTGGATCTCCAGGTCTTGAGGTTTGGCTTTAGCAGCATTCTGCCACAAGGCTCTGGCCGTTTCCTCATGCCCTCCTATTTCATTCAATGTGTTGTGTAGTATATTCAAGGCCTCGAGGTCGGAGACAGGTGGGGAGGCGCTACACAGCTGCAGAGTTTCCGCAACCCCACGCTGGCAATGCGCCTCGTCGGCATGACTGAAGAGGATATTTGCTTTCCAGGCCTATAAAATGATCAGCAATTAGCAATCGGTTCGAATTGTTACAAGAGCGCACTTGTTAGCGAGATAGGCAGGCTATGGCGGGGACTGGTGAGGCTTTACCTACCCTCAAAAAGGACGAGTCCTCGCCTTTTTTCAGCCGCTTTTCACACAGCTGCAATGCCTGTTTCAGGTTCTGTCCGTCTATAGCATCCTGTATCTGTTTATTCCTTCGCTCGATTACAGCGTTGGAGGCCATGGTGAAGAACGTTGAAGACACTGGGTAGCAAAATAATTTCGCATGGTTCGCGCCTAAGCATTGTTTAAATTTGGGTGGACTCCGTGGAGCTAACTAGTTAATGGACCACCCAAGTAGTTAACTACTATGGAGTGCATATTTATCTAGCTACAAAATAACCAGGATAAACGCCAAAGGTACCTATATCGCCGTTGAAATGTTTATTTTGGGCCGCCGGGTGTTCACAAGTCTCCATCCACCGGTGAAATTCTGACGACACCATCGATGACGATAATTCAATTAACTAGGTAACAGTGTCTCTACCGACTCCTAGCCAATAATTGAACTTCAGAATGGCTTTGAAAATCTATAGACAAGCACCATAATATGTATTTTAAAGTCCAACTGCGCCTTCATAACTAACTTCGCATACCCCATGCTCGAACACAATTCCTCAACCACTAGTAAACACTGCTGATATCGTACAAAGAAGGATAACCACGTTTCATCTCCGGACAGCGTAGACTTGGTCGGTTAATGATTATATACCAAACAAAAGAATTTCTACCAGCAAAGAGAGACGACTTTGGTGAGCCTAGATCCCTAGCTAGTGGTTCCTTTTGTTTTCTTCTGGTTTAACTATTCGAAGTTAGTATAACGAACAAGCGTAGTTTATCGGTAAATCTGTCATTTCCTCCTGGCTTGGGCTAAGACATAGATGTAGTAGAGCAGAAAGCAACAGGTCGAGATTAGGTGAAATAGAGACATAAAGCAGACAACAGGGGAGGTTATAGGGCTCACCCAGGCTTTCTTGCAGTCACGGTATGCTCTGCAAATTACTAGATTAGCTAACATCTCTGGGGGATAACGGAATGTGCTAAGCATGACTTACTGGATGTAATCTGTACACATATCTCTGTCTCCGTTGTTTCGCCGCATACATTTGATACTTCGGTCTGCAAAGTCCTGACACGGGTCCATGTATTCACTGGCCGATTTACTATTCCCCAAGATTACATCAGTATATTGGTTTATCTCAGGCAGGCAGAGGCTTCATCGCAATCCTTGCTATGTATACCGGAGTCCGGATACTGCTACAGCGCTAGGCAGAAGATTTGGCCATTTTACAGGGTATCTTGGTCAAGCGTCAGCAGGAAAGGGATATACTGAAAGCACATACTTTCTGAACCTGGGCTCGCTTTTGTCGAACATTTTCTGCGAATCAGTCTGTTTGTCTGTGGAGCTCATAATGTTTAAAATGGCCGAGTTCAATAGCAAGATATTCTCCTATATCATCCCATGTGTATCCCACTTGGGTGGCTGGTGATGATGTTGCTTCAAATTGGACGAAGACAAAAAATGAAGTCGAGATGGGAAAAAGGTCTTGGCATTCAATCTCTCCATGGAACACGCTGAAATCCGGGATAACCACCTTCGCGACGGGCTTGATAACCATTTCGACTTTTTGAAACTAATACGTTGATTACTGTGAATATCTGCTATTAAGAACATATTAATTCCAATATCTAGTTAGCAAAAATGACATGGTGGTTGGGGTCGCAGGCTGTTCGGTGTCCAGCCAAAAAAATTACCCAATCGGGAGATAAGGCCAGCTTCATCTGCCGCCGAAATAGTACATTTTCCTCCTTCGAAACATTTGTCGGTCCTTCATGTACCTTTGTCTAAATCTCGAAACGTTTAAGTTCTAGCCGCTAAATGCCGAGTGTAAAGCTTAAATTATATATTATTAAGTAAATGTATATGTAGAAAGAAATACGGAGTTGACAGAAAGATATCACTCGTTAGCGAAAATGAAGGTAAGAGGGGTTGGCACGGACTGCCATAGAACATCAACCCTGGCAATGCAGTGTGATTGCTGCATGGGCCAGGGCAATTTCGCTAGTGTTCTGCGACAGTTCGCTCTTGACGCTCGAGTACAGACTGGCAGAGTGCCATCCACCCCGAACTATTAGTTAGTGCCTAAGAGTGCAAAAGCAAAGTGAAAAGTTAATCAGATTACTTTAAGGGGGTTCTAGATGGATGGATTGGTCCCCTTTGTTTAACATCTCAGGCTGCTATGTGTCACACAGCCAAATCTCTTGGTTGGATAATCGCATCCCAAGTGGTCGCTGAGTCTATTAAGAATCCTTGCCCTGCCGCCTATTAATATTCGTAAAATGCCAAAAGGCATGGATTTTGTTCTCCCAAGAACCTGATAAGGTGGTGCGGCAAATATATAGATGTAGGACATTCCAGTAAGCCCTTGATCCGACAACTATTCAATGATAAAAAATTAGCTCGGGCAAATGGGCGTACGCTGGGTAGCAACGAGTTGTAAGGATCCTTGCGTGCAAGGAGTCCTGATCAAAACACCTGGCTTCTTGTATGATGGCAATGTCATGGCGCTGACAGACTATGTATATTTGCTTGGCTGGGTAAAATGCGGGTATCTGGTCCATAGAATAACTAGGTCGAGTGTTTCTTAGCTGGCTTGACCCTGGGTCATATGACATGTCGGTGATAACAACGGCGTGCTCTAGCGAAGTATTATTATACCCGCCCAGTACGTACACCCGTAAGTTATAGTGGGCTTCCCACCTAGACACCAACGGCACGAAGTCCGACCATGTTGGTGTCTCAACAAGGATTCCCATGAATCTATGAACCCGAATATCGGCCTCTTTGGCGAGAAGCGGAGAAAAGAAGAAAAGAAAATAAGCATGAAGCTAGCGATCTCGTTTTGTCGCGGAATGGTTAGACTGTTGGAAAGTTCAGCCCGTGTGGTTAAATAAAGCAGCCATATAATTCCCAAGCATGTACTCCGTACACCCCCGACAACGGAAACGACCGACTGATTTTCCTAATCAAGTCAAAAAGTCCATACCTCTGCATCTGCAGGACAACGATCAAGCCAACTCCACTCGGATGAAGAAACACCGTAACGGCGAGAGCAGCTAGGCGTTGTGTCTCAACAGCTCCCCTTTCTGCAGGATGGATACGGCCAATAGCCAGCTAGTGGCTATTGTTCCATTAATCATATGCTCCACACCAAAAATAAAATGTGGTAGCTATAGTTGGAAACTTCAACGGATACCACGCTAATAGCCGCCATTCTGTGTGGCTCCGAGCTCCCTTCTGACACGTCGCATTCTTTGTTGCTCCATACTGGGCGAGAAAAACGTGTAGCCTAGTTGACCTGCAGAACCAGTGAGCCATCGGCTTCACTATTACCAATGCAGTTATGTAGGACTTGGACCCAAAAGGTATGATAAGGGGTGATTCCATGCGTTTCAAGAGCGGTCGCAAAAGGAAAGTACCTCTAATCACGAGGCCGGCTAAGAGGGTTCTGGTCTCAAGCCTGAGCACTGCTTCAGCCCGTATTCTGCTTGCGAAGGAACCCTGCCCATGTCTGGTGATCGCAATCCAGGCTATTCGGCAGTATAACGGTACCTCTAGATTCCAGGCAAGTAGAAATTCCAGACCCATGATCCTCGCAACAAAACGAGTTTAGTTGTTGGTGGATGAGAGTAGAAACTGTACGGAGTACACATTGATGTATTCAAGTTCGCAGCTGTGATGAGGGAAATGGCCCGAAATCTGGACGCCATTTTGGTATCATGTGGGGAATGACAATCGGGTATCAAAATTCATATGCTGTTCTCCACATAGAAACAGCGAATGCGCTATGAGAGAATAGAGGGATTGATATGCGTGTGCTAGGCCAAGGTTGTGCTCATGCGCTCCACCCTCTGTCTTTCATTATGGTGGTAGACCAGCCAGTCCCGGTTGCTCCGTGGAAGAGATGCATAAGCCGCGATTGTCGAGAACACGTCAACAGAGCATGGAAATACATTAGGACTAGGGTATTGATCAACCGGATTGTCTAGAACCAGGGAGTAGGAACTACCGGCTGCCCGGCAGCTGAATAAGTAATCGTGGTGTCAACTCTTCAATGTCGGGGTATAAATATCGCCTTCTGTCCCACGAATATCCGGGTTGCTTTCTGTTTCAAGGGCAAAAAATTCGTTAATTCATTCCACCGTTTGCAAAACTATTGTTCATTTTATGCCTCCATCTCCCACAACATAGGTTGCCATTGAACGTTTCACTTTGTGTCGTGTCTTTCTCCCTGGATCCGTTCCCTTGCTGCCGCCCAATTCTTGCTGTGATTACCACCGTTATTATATAGGGTGAGTGGTTTCATCCAAGAGGTCACAGTAGTGGCGAGAAATGTGTAAAAGCCGTCTTTTTAAGATGGCAAATGATCCTTTCCC